TACATCAATATTAATTTTTTGAAATGCAAACTAAGGAACAATGACTGATACACCATAATACACTCATCATGCAGGTGTCCTTTTCAGCATTCCAGATTTGAAATCTTAGAACACAGTAATTGCTTACATATAATGTAATAAGATTCTGCAGAAATATATGGCATGCTTCTCAGTGAATTTAAAAGTATTCCACTCTGTTTTTTTCCACATGGTACAAAAGCCTTTTGCGACAAGAAGGTATAATCCAAACTTGGCTCCATTATATTCAGCCTCTTGCAGCATCACTGAAATCAGTGGAGCACTGAGAATGAAGAACTTCATCTGTTTTTTTCATCTGCTTTGAGATACCACATATACTTCAAAAACTTAAGTATTTGGTACTTTATTGCGGGAAGATCAGTGTGACGTTTTATAGAGTTTTAAAGCATACTCATACTTCTCACAGTCTAAGGAAGAAACTTCTCTTTAATGTGATTTACAAAATCGCCGTCATTGTATATCTAAATTAATTGATTATTTTCATATTGATCATAATTAGCTAACCGCTTCCTTTTTTGTATGTTCGAAGTAATCCAAACTTAAACCAGAACACTTCTGTTTTCTTCAGGATTTTCTATTGGATTGACATCGTCTTCCTTTTACTACAGATGTATAGAAAGACACTTCCAGGTTAATAGTCCCACTTTTGGAAGTTAAGTGACATTCATGTAGAAATTAAACCAGATGAGGCATGGAGGGGGGCTACTAAAACATGTTTGTGGTACAGATCAACTTCCAGTTTGCGAAATGCATGGATACATGAGTAACATGGCAGCTGCATGTCACAGGAAAAGCCACAGGAGGAGAGTATTCCTGGGGCTGACCTGTTTATGCCTCAGTGCAAAAGGACAGCCTGATCCCTGTTACCTGACAGCTCCCTATAGTCTACCAGGAATTTGAGTCGGAAGATATAGTAGCTTTAGGAGGTAAATGCATAATGATTTTAGAACTACAATAGCTTCTTTTTTATATAATAAAGATAGTCCTGTCCCCCCCGTAAATTTCACTTTATTTCGGATTATTTTCATGTCAGTTTTCTTTTGTAAAAGTGCAGGACCTGTTTTACATGATTATATAGGATTTCTAAGGGATGCATTTCTGTAAAATGTGTATGTGTAATTTTAGGCATTGCATTTAGGCATTGCAAATGGACCTCTGATTTCAGAGAAACTATTTACGTAAATTTAAGTATGTGCATAAGTCTCTGTGGGATAGGGGATTAATATGAGCTCTTCTCTAGATATTTAACAAAATTCAGCCACATTATCTATGCAAACCTAAGACAGTGGAATCAGAAAACAGGTTGTAAGCAGTCCACTATGATGGCACAGCGTAGCATAATTAAAGTATTATGAAGGGTAGAGCCATGATTGACCCTCTGAGTGCCAATTTCTTAGACCTGTAATTTTGAATAACCTGAACACTCATGGTGCCTTTGCCAATCAAGTTAATGAGCTAAGAATATGGAGCAGAGCACAATTTCCCATGCTCATGTCAGAGGTCAGCTTGCAAACTGGCACGAGTTACCCTGCAGCGAGTATTCCCTTTTACCTTGAGATTCAGGGGATTACCTTGTGGCAGGAAGCTGCCCGCTTTGCTCTTGAAGTACCCGAGGGGCTCAAGGCTCACCCTTTTCGGCAGATAACCTGCTATTTCTATATGCAGACCTCGGTGAGCATTTGCTGCCAAGGGTGAGGGCAAACATGTTAAGATTTGGGAAGAGGTGATAGAAACAATATTCCCTGATGCTCTTGAATTCAGGGCAGCCTGTCTCATCTTGATGCCACGTGAAAGGGAAGGTGGCTGATTGGGATATATGGTGCTGCATTCTGCTGCCAGGCGGTATTCCTGGGCACCTAACCTCGTTCCACTTGAAAGCCAATGTAAGCAGTTCTTACTAGTACACCTAGTAAAATAAAGGACGAGTAATGCCTACAATCTGGGTTGGCCTATTATGAATGTCAGGTATTAAAAAGAAGATTTCTAGAACTTTAATTCTGGAATTCATAAAGACTATTTTACTGCTTCTTCCTTCATTTTAATATGAACGGCCATGTAAGTGCTCTCAGTAATAGCCTTATCCCAATTTTTGTGTGACATTCTGTCAACGGTGTGCATTAAAAAGACATTATTAAATGGAAGATGCTTTTAGGTCCCCATATTTTTGCCACCTGAGGCAGGATCATTAGGTTAAGATAAGAAAATAACAGTGATCTGTAGCTATTACAGATTATTTAATGCAGTAAGGTAGATGATACCCTTTTAGAAAAAAGCCTGACAGTCAGAGGTGGAACAGTTACTGTGATTTATTTGGCAGAAAAAAAAAAAACAGCGTCAAGCTTTGCAGTATCTATGATAAAAAAATAAAATTTGCTTGAGTGAAATTCATTTCAGATAGTTGCCTCGAGGAATAGAGCATGCTGGAATGCCAAATCAAGAAATGTGTTAAAAACTGTTCATGTACTGCAAGGTTCAGAGGCAATGTCTGAGAGAGTGGCCTACAATACTGGAGGCCACAGAAAGAGGTACTGCACTAATAACTGAAGATGTTATCACAGCTGAATCAAGTAACTCAGTGTCAGGATGGCTGACAGCAATACAAAACACCTATTTCAGTGAATTATTTCCAAATATTCCATTACTCAGTATGTAGCACATTACTTTTATAATTAAATTAACACCTTTTGGATTGGGACCACTGGCATGTGCACTGTGGAAGCTGCAGGAAATATGGAAGATTACTTGAGGGAGAAGAGGCATCCTAATGCATATCTAATATAAATGACAAGGCAAGAGACAGGTTCTTAATTACAGCATTTCCCTCGCTCAGAAGCGTCCCCTAAAAGGGACGGGTAAATAGAAGGTCCCAATCTTTGCATGCAGTATTGCTAGCACATAAACCTAGACTCACCATCTTCTTCCCAAGAGGCTCACCACAAAGCAGACTAACTGGAGACCTGGTAAGCCCAATGCATAGAAGGGCAGCTTCTCATCCGTGTGTTCAGGGCATGAATTCCCCACAAAGATCCTGTAAGGTTGCAGTGGGCCTGGTGCGGTCCTGTCATCCAGATGCAAACAAGCAAAACCCTGAGACCTGTGTGAGTTACCCTGGAGGCTGAATTTAGTCCTGTGCTAAGTATGTTCTGGCCAGTCGAGGCCCAGGACATTGAGCTCGAAGCCTCTGAGGTTTGACAGCTGAACGGGCAGGCAGCAGACGGACCCTTGACACTGGCAGGAAAGGGACAGCAGCTTTGGGATGCAGTCTTTATGGTCACTTACGGGCATGTACACTCCTGGTTCTGTTGCATCAAAGAATTGTTACTTTTTTAGAGTATTCTCCATGCAGTGTGGCAAGTGATTTTTAGAGGAGCTCTGAAGGCAGGCAGAAAGGTGGCTAGGGTTTAGAAATACAGTCAGGATAGAAAGAAGCACAAACGTGTACGTGGGAGGAAGGAACCCAAAAGCTGCTGTCAGAGGCTCTCACACTGGGGAAAGAAGAGACAGGGCAAATACCTTAGTAGTCCAAAACAAGGTCCTAATGAAAGGCTGCCCTAATTTTCTCAGTGAGAGGAGAAGGAGAAAAAATAAATGGCTAGAATTAGATATGTACTCAGAACAAGAGCAAACAGTAGAAGAAGTTGATTGACTCTTTAGAAATTAAAAAATGTTTATTGAACAGTTTGCACACATGAGAGAAATAGGGTAACTTAATTAAAGAGGATAAAAGAAAAAAAAAAGCTAAAGTTCCTAAAAGCGTTTTCTAATGTAAATGTATTTAATTGTCAGCAATTGTTTAATGTAATGCGGGCTGTTCTATATCAGTTCTGATGTTTGTATCCTTGGAAATATTAGTGTCCATAAGAGGATTTTTATTTTAAATAACTAGCAAAAATACCTGTTTAGGAACTGTTGGAGACAAAAGCTAAGATTTTTTTAAGAAAGAATGATAATTAATAACAGCTATCTGATTGGGGTAAACAGCAGACAACTACTTAAAAACAGAAATGAGATAAACCAAAAAGGATAATTCATCTGTGAATTTTCTGCCTATTTCTTCATATAATATGTATTTCGATTTGATCAGAATATCTAGGTTTCCCGGAATCTCTCCATGGGATGAACCAACAGATACAGCATTTGGTATTCAAGAGGTCATTGCATCCAGTGCTTGAATATCACATCCTGCCTTCCGAGCAAGAATGTCATAGAGTCTGTAACGCGCTTCCTAAAAATAGTAGTCCAAAACTTCCCTGTACATCCTGCTGTTTATGTAACAGGATTTTTCACTGTTTTGCTTTTTCAACATCTATACTTCAAAAAGATTCTATATGTTAAAAAAAGGACCTTGTTAAATCTATGTATCTTGAAAAATAAATGATCTTTAAAGAAAGAAATAAAATGTAAGTTCTAGCATGCCAAGACTATTGAACAGATATCGATAGAAGAAATAAAGATTTGTTGACTGGTGTTTATGTATTTATACATAGAATATTAAAGCAGAAATATTTTTATTTGCAGCCAACATTTTAATTTACCAACGGTAAAAGAAAAGCATGCTGTAATATGTATTTAGGAATCTTTTTTTCCTTCCTACTATTACTTAAAAGTTTAACCAGATTATGCTTTGTCACCTATAGTCTTGTAGGTAGACCAAAATTAAGTCAGAACTGAGCAATATATTTTTATTCCTTTAAAATCCCTGAACAGACCATTTGAGCCTTTAATCCACTGCAAGTGTTAAAAGCGAGAAAAAAGGGGAGGATTGTTGTGGGCCCTTTTGTTGTGTAGTTATTTGAACTAACATAATTAGAGGGAAGGACTTGATTTTCTGTTTATTTAAGTATTTTTACCTCTTCCTTACGTCGCTATATTTTGCCGATATATAAGCCCAGGGTTCATGGTGTTATTTTATTTCCTTCTTATAACAGTTGACTAATTTTATTTTTTAATCTCTTTCATAGATGCAAGAATTCCAAACTAAAATGCAGTCAATGTTTCCGTCAATTCCTAAAAAAAGTGAATCTACTGTAGAATGGGAAGACTTGCTTAAATCCAAATGAAAGAAGCAGAATAATTTGGAGACGTCCCTTTCAGCAAGAATGTCAGGGGAACTATTGCAAGTGTCCCATCTGAAAAACAAAAAAGATAACTCAGACTAAGTGAATTACTGAATTCACTGAACCTGGCGTTGCCTGTGAACATCTAACAACAAGAGAGTTTACAAAAACAATTTATATTATGCCGTGTTTGCTAGTACATCTTCAGCCTGTTTGATATAATTGATTTGTTAGGAAATCCCAGATGAGTTGTATCCATCTTGGAAAAAAAAGAATTTATCTTACAACAACTTGAAGAAGAAACTAACCTTCAGTAGTAAACTGAATGAAAATGCAACGACAAACCCTTATTCCATCCTGCTCCTCACAAGAAATTCTAGGAAATTTCTCTAGCAGCCAAGAGTACTTTCAGCGTTACTTGAACAGGAGTATAACCCTCAAATAAATTGTAACAAATCTGTTAATGAGCCTGAAGGTAAAGCATACAGTGGACTCTTCTAAAAATAAAGGCGATATTTAAATTTGCAACAGAGGAAGCATCTGAACCACACTATTTTTGAATGTCTGGAGGGAAAACTAAAAGCATCCAGAATGCAAAGAATGCCCTACTGAGCTGCTCTCTAGAGCAGAGCAGAGATCTCTACAAAGTGCGCTCCATTTCCTCAGTAGTAGTTTTTTGTTGGATCTTACAATAGCAAATCTGATCATTTGCATAAAAGCTGCTATTATAGTATGAAAATCTAAGTTGTAAGTGAAAATGAAAATGATATAAAATACTGATGTACGCTGCATTATACTGTAAGTATTTTCACCTAAGAAAATACATGGTCAAGTATAGCTTTTTGTATTTCAGTGGTTCCTGTGGCTCTTCTACCAAGAGAAATCTAGGCAGTATGCTATTTTTCACACTGCAGTGATCTCATGAAGTGTGGGCGTAAACAAGGAAGAATAATGTCTTAGTCAAACTCTGCATTTGCAGGATTATAGCTCTGTAAAACTGCAGAAATAATAATAAAAAAATACACACTATCACTGAACGATCCTTTGCTGAATATTCAATTATAAAAGTTTTTTATTAATTGCACACAGTCCAATTAGTCAGCTGTCAGATCTAATAAAGTTCTCTTAAAATTTGTCCTTTGTGATTAAATCTTTAGACTAAGAGAGAATGTTTAAAAAAAATCTTTAAATGTCAGATGAATAATAGGAAAGTTTGGTTTCCCTATGAAACATGACAGCACAAAAATAATATCTTTAAAGAAACTGAAGTGTAATAGCTGACATTTTTTCCATAGCTTGATGCTTGTAATCCAGTATTAAATAAATTGTGGCCCACACAGCCATTGCACATGCACAAAAATGGTGCTGTTTTCATGTTTCGATTAGTCTGTGCACGTGCCGATGCTTACAGCACCTATGCTGATGTGTATTGATGCTGGCTTACTAAGTTTAAGATGCTATCCATGCCATTAGAGCTGGTGAAGTGCTAAACACAATAAATGCAACTCTCATAGGGTTCTTAATGTTGCTCACCTTTATTTTCTAAGGTGGGACCCTGCTGCCTTTCGGCTTCAATTGCCTCGGCGCATCGAGCGGGCACGGGTTCCACCACCCGGGAACCCGGGCCAAATGTGCACACACACCACTATGGTGGATGCAGCAAATGGCACTTATTGCAGACACATCCAAACTTATATAGGGCACCTGTGTGTGGAGGCACGCCCCGTAGCCCATAGCGTTAACATTGCCTTATACGGGCACGTGCCCATCTCCCCTGTTCTTTCCGCCCAGCGCGAGATCTTCCGACCGCCGTACCCTACAGGACCCAGACCACCTGGCTTTATCTAGATTAAGTAACTTATGGTAAAATTTAAAATTAGTCATTTTAAGTTCTCTGCACAGTCAATAAAGACAGGTATAAATGTTCAAAGAGTGACTTCGCTGTATGAAAATGAACGTCCAATCTTGGAATTTTACAAAGTACCTGGCCTGACCTAACTGTGGCCTGCATCTGGAAAAAGTTTCCCTCCTATCAGCCCAGGGGCGTTATGAGGACAGAGGCCAGGGTGCTCTGCAAAAGATGGTCAGACGAGGGCTAGTCCTGACACAAGAAGGCAACACTTGGTAACATCTAGCCCCAAGATCAGTATTATAAATACGGGATCACTGCTGTGTAAGTAGTTTAATATATGCAGGCTCTGTATTATAAAATACTTCCTAGGTAGGATAGGTAGACTGAATCAAATCTGGAAGCACCCATGAATGCTGGAAATATCCGTTTACGTCTTCAAAAAATCCAAACCTACTGAAATTTACAGATAGAAATTTTTAAAGTAGAATCATGCTTATAGGCAAGTGCAGAGTTATGTAGTAAATCAGTGTGAAGGGGTAAGACCTAACATAAAACATCTTCCAAAGAGGGTGAAATTCATATACTGCCTTATTGTTCCAAGCTTTATTCTGCACTTTTCACTGAGAACAAGTTTTTCTCTAGAAAAAAGTTGATGTAAAGGGTGAGAACATTATTTTACAGTAAATGAAGTCTCAATGAAAATGAAAAAAATGGGAGTTATTTTATTTCCTTTCCTGCCCTATGCATCTCTTTTCACTAGTTGAACATTATACCTCAAAATACTAAATGGAATTTCAAGACTTATATAGCTAGAAGTAGACATGGAAGCACATTCCTTAATTCTTTTTTCTTCTGTTGAAAAACAAAAATACTTCCTGCATCGGGGGTGCAAGAAAAAAAAAAAAACAGAAGAGGAAGGGTATTTTCACTATCACTTTTTTCTAGTGCAAAGAGTTAACACTAAAGCAGGGTTGTCTCCAGACTGGGGATTGGAAATGCGTAACGTAGAATGGCTGCAGTGAGGTTCAAGTTGGTTCCGTTGCTTTTCGTGGGCCTCTGTGTTTCATTTGCAGTGATTTGCACTGACTTCCTGGTCACATTTCGTTATAAGAATAATGGAGACCACGTGTGTTCCTAAAATTAGCCTGTAGGCTATTACTTAATAATATGTGGGCTCCTTCTATACTGCTGTGTTGCTTGGAAACAAAAAGGGAAATGGAAAGCACTGCTGAAGAGAGCTCAGTATGGAAAATGGATGTAAAGGGAGAACTATGCGCAGGCTACACTGCCATCCTCATGATTATAAAGAAAACCTCCTCCACTCAGCCAGTCCCAAGGACACTAGCAGTGTCTTTGCTGTGGAAGGTGACATATGGAAACAAACTGGAAACACTCATTTAATTTGGTCCACCACCCACTCTGGTGAAAACGTCTCAGGGGGCTTTTGCTGTGATTTTTGTCACCCATAAGCTGTCTTAAACCAGACTCATAAGAGCTCTTCCTTTTTGAAAATTCAGATCACCTAAACAGATACGCAGAGCAGACTGGCCTGCGATATTTAGGCTGTCATTCAAAACTCTCCAGAGAGTTAAATGCCTGAAACTCAATTAAAGAGGAAGAGCTGAATCAACACTGTTAGAATCTGAGCTTGTGGGTGCAGAATTTCTAGATGCTTCCAACCTGATAGCTAGGCCAGTAAGCAATCCCATCTGGGCAAATGGTCTGTTTTAGCAATCAGAATTAAGCTGACGGAAGTATTTTTGTGTGTGATTTGTCTATTTCTTTAAATACCAGGAACATATTGTTAAATTAGTTAATGGAAAGAAAAAACGTTTAACAGCTAATGCGCTCCTTTATGTAAAGCACCATCTGTGTGCAGTATTCGGGGTGCCCCAGGATGTGGAAGAGAGGAAATCACACAAAGTTTCAACCTTGTCTTCTTTACTGTCATTATCTTGGGCACAGTATGATAAATAATCACATTTATCTTCTGGAGCATATACAGCTTTAATCAACCTATTAAACAGGAAGACATTTTTCACAGACTTTAAAAGGCACAAAAAAGACATTATCTCCCAATAAGCAATCCATTTCATGGGTACTGAGCACTTGAAACTCAGAACAGAGTGAACAAGACTTTTTTTTTTCCCTTCACATCTGAATAAAGCTATTTGCAGAGACTTCAGTCAAGCATATTTGAGGCCTAACCCTCAAAGCAAACAGACAAATATGCTTTTGTAGACTGCAAAACAGGAAGTGTAAGTGAGAGTTTCTAAATTTTCCATGTCCAAACATCACCGATTTTGTTTGTCTGAATATTATTTATTTTTAATTAAGAGGTTTCATTATTAATTGGAGCTTCAAGAGTGGAGGCTCTGCTGTTCATCAGACTTCCAAATTGGCACCCCGCTCTCTTTCAGCTTGATGTTACTTACCGCTGATCACCAGCAACGCAAAGAGGAGACACCTCTCAACCACGAGCCTGCATCTGGGCACAGCTCCTCCGCTGTGGGTGCAAACCCTCGGTTACCAAAGAGTGACATCCAGGAGAAGGCAGCACTGGCGCTAAGAGGGCTGAGCCACAGTGCCCCTTCTCTTTGCAGTTGTTAACCGTTAGTCATTGCGCAGCATCTCCTGCCGCTGCAGAATGGGAGATCAGCTAATACCTCACTGCTGAAGATGCAGAAGATGGGGTAGCTAAGGTAAAACTACGTACACACACACACAAGTCTGAACCACAATATTGCTCTCGCTATTCCTCCACGGCATTTACATTCTTTTAGGAAGTTTGCAGTGGATGTGGGAACTAAACAAAAAACAGGTCTAGTTCCCTCAGTTCACCCATACCAGGATCAGCTATGGTGGTCTCCACAACCCTTTACCGAGCTAGTCGATAGGTTTCTCTGCCTCCCGCCCTCTCCTGCCGGGAATGCGCCACTGGGCAGAAGGTCATGGGGGTGGCACCTCCTGCCTTTGAAAACTCTAAGGATTAAAGGCTTTAAATGAATGGAGGGTTAAAGTGCCCTAGAACAGCCACTGGCAACCCCACGGGCTGGCAGTGAGAGAAAGTGATGCGAGGGGACACAAGCCACCCGTGGTGGCATTTACCTGATCCTGTGAGGCGTCCTCATCCTGCACAAGGTGTTCCAGC